CTTATTACAATTAGTTCCAATTTACTGAAGGGGCATTTACAATACGGTACTAAATTAGCGTGTTAGTAGTGGGAAGAGATATGCCTTATATTTACACATTGTTTTAAATGTTAAGGACTACATTTTGAAAAATAAAATGCATTAATTTTGTCCACCAGAATATGGTGAAAGGTCATCAATTCCTTAGTTTGAACTACATGAGCATTAGGATTGGTAGGTGATTGGTTATTAAATTCAAATAATGTGCCACTCGGAAAATGCCATTTTTTTTTTTTTTTTTTTAAAAAATAATTTTATTAAATTTTTTTTTTTTTTTTTTTTAAATAAACTGACTTTTGTTCAATTAAAACCTTATTAAATCTATGGAGGTGTCCACCTCTTATTGAGCTGACCACAGTCGCCTACAAAGTCAAGTTTTATGATTATTTGTATCCGATTACACAATTTTTTTAAAAAAATTTTTAAATCTATAACTACCATAAAAATTTATTGTATAACTCGGACAAATATTTGTACAACTAGATGTATCTGTGTAAAACTAAATCTATCGTAGTATAATGGACAAATATGTGTACTACTGGACATATTCATCATATATGTAGTTGTAAAACAATATGTGTACCGTGCAACTAGGTATATCTATAACAGACTTTGCATTAACTCTGTTGGTTACATTTTGCCCAGGTTCCTGGAATGATTGTAGCCCTTTGTTGTACCTTTGTCAAGTTTGGATACCCCTGGTATACAAGTTGAAATAGAATAATATTAATAATGAAACTACTGGAGTATATAGTTTATGCGGTAGGAATTAAATATGATGTTAAATTATGACAGCCTGTCATTTTTTTGTTGTGTTTTTTTTTTTCCTTTGTTGTGGATAACTATTCCCTGTGAAGTGAAATTTGTGACAAATATTAAACTATACTGAGATTTTCTCAATTATTTTATTCTTTTTTAATCAGTCCAAATTTGATGCCTCCAGCCAAACTGACTCTACTCTCGACTCTTCGAACCTGTCAATGCACTGTTGCAGTTTAACAAACCTTTCCATGAAAAGATTCATTATGAATTGCTTGTAATTATCCCTCAAATAAATTTGAATGTTCATATTATCTTTGCTAATTAATAATTAATTTCCATAATAAATAGAAAAGTTTATCCTTATAAACATTTTTCTTCCTCCTTACCATGGTACCTAATACGCAGAGGGTCCCAAAATTAAGGTGGATTTAAAAAGGGGGGGGGGGGGGGGTGACCATTTTCGCTCAGATCGGGTGGTCTGATTCTCACCTTTATTATTATTATAGATGATCTTATGACGTCAAGGTAGCCTTACCAACCCAACCGAAGTTTCATCTAATTTCATGCATACAATCATTTATGTGCACTAACACTCACTAAATTGTCTTAGGTGTCTCAAACAATGCAATAGCCTACAAACCGATGGTAACTATATTTATAGCAAAATCAAACGCGTTAATGCGATTTTTCTGTCGTATTTTAAGAATGATTTATAATTTGTCGTATTTTAAGAATGATTAATAATTTAAGCGTCTATCTATCTGTCTACAGACAAAATGCTGTGATTGGTGATTGGCGGATCTCTTAGTAACATGCCAAGGGAAACAAATCTTAATTCAAAAGATGCTGTGCATTTTCTTCTGCTTCTTCTTTTGTCTATCAAATTAAAATCCTGTCACTGATTAATTTTAATTTATGAAATGTACAATTATTAAAGGGTCACACGTGATGTAACCATATGAATGTGTTTGTGTTACATTATCAATAAACAATATAAACAAAATGGAATATGATTTATTGTGTTAATTTTGTGCTGAAATTTTTTAACCAGTATATTTTTGTTTTTTTTGTGGGTCTGCAATACGGGTCCATTTTCAAAAGGTTCCCCAAACTGTAGCCCAACTGCTGTCCTTCACATACGAAGAAGACCACGTCTTGACGGTTCGTACGCGCTAGTTGTGAATCCTGTTTGTATCTGGAAAGCTTGTCGGGTAGAGAGATTTGAGGCGATTGTCCAAGCTGCGCGCTTTCTTTGTGCGTGAGCAGGGGCGTCATTTTTGGTTTTTGTACGTCAATCTCCCTCCCCCCCCCCATTTTCCCCGTGAAAAAACATGAAATGACGCCCCTGGGCGTGAGGTGTAGGATATAATATCTGAAGATTGTGGCTCAGCAGTGAGTCTGCCTCGCCATCCTATGCTATTCAAGGCGTTTCACATGGGTTCAGGTTGATGTCATCTTGATTCAAGTGAGAGAGTAGCGCTTTTCGTCGGCCCAACTCTCTCTTCGCAAGCAAAACGACAATTACGATACCGACATGGGCGCCCGCAAAAAACTTTCTAGGGGGGGGGGGGCAAAAATATAGATTAACTTTCCAGGGGGGGGGGGCAAGAA